GAGAGTGCCGTATGAAAGCCTTTCTACCCCGTACTGGAAGAAGATTCTAAAAGACGATAAAGAAGCAGACCAAATTGCAAGGGCATTTATACTATGCTTGATTGGGTCCTCATTCCTAAATGATAAGAGCCAATACGTGAGTATGCACTACGCCCCCAGTCTCGAAATAGTCTCAGACATTGGTAATTACGACTGAGGCGGTGCGGCTTTGGCTTGCTTGTATAGATCAATGGATTCTTGTTCTAGGGGCAGGTCCTCAAGCATGGGTGGGTATTGGAGGGGATGGGAGGTTAGTGGAATCGAATTGAATGTCCCCAAAGTGCAACAAACTTTTTGCTTAAATTGCTAATTTGTATACTTGTTTTGTGTAGGTATGGGCTTGCGAGTACCTAAAGTCGTTTGCTTTATCGAGGCCCAGTGGGACCTTGAACACGAGGCCCAGTGGGACCTTGAACACGTGGCCCCGAGCATTGAGTTTGTTAGGTGCAAAAGCAAAGCCAGACTTGCACCATCAGTTGATACATTTTAGAGTTTTGATGCGACATCTAACAAATGATATGGTATAAAGCCTTCACTCTTGAACTAATATTTTATTACCAAAAAAATGTATCATACGCAAATGTAACCAATTTGTATTACAGGTAAATTGGAACCCATGGGGGACCGATGAATTTGAGATGCCGGAAGAAGTCAAAAATACCATGTCGGCAACCCGTAAACGAATCCTACTGGATGGACCAGTTGGTTCTGCCTGGTATTTAGGAGAGCGAGTCGCAATGCAAAGCTTAGGCAGCACAGAACCTCGAGTACCCAAAATTCCATCGAGGAAAATGCTTTCCGATTATAAGCTCACTGATGAGTCAGAAGTCGAGGAAGCACTTAATAGGTACCCAGCTTCGGAATGGCTTGCAAATTCATCTGACTATGCCCAGTACAGAGATGAGTACATAAGGTACCGCCACTATGAGGACTTACGTGAAGCGGTAGGTTCTACACTGAACACGTGTTATGTACTTACACTTCCTGCATTAAATTGAATTTTTTTTTCTTCTTAAAACTAACATGATACCTCAATTCCACAGGAAGGACAACATAGAAGGGTTGGAAACATCTCTCCTCAGGCATTGTTAGTGCGAATACCAAGCTGGGCTGCCGATAATGGAAGTAAACTTGTGCGGATACCCCGTGGACAAGATAGCGTTGATCTACCATTACCTGATGGTGAAACGCATGTAAGTAGTTTCCATTGCATAATTTATTCCTAATTGATGGCTTCCAGTGGTGATTGTTGTAATTGCATGTGCCTGAATTTAGGTAACTGCTGAAGCTGCAACCGAGATTTTGGAGCTGAATGCTGGGTTGAATGCCATACTATTTTCAACATCATTGGAAGCAAGCATAGAGATTAGGCGCCTACAACAAGAGATTGTGAGTCAGTTCAGCTTCATTTCATAGTGATTGCATAAAATTAACGAATATCACCGATGTTATATTGAAATAAGAGCCCAAGAATGAAAACGAACGATGTTATATTGTAATAGGAGATATTGAAGAATACCAAGGGGACAACCATTGCAAGTGAAGATATTGGTCAAGACGTCTTAGCTGATGATGCAGTACATGTAAGTTTGTTACCTCCATTGCCCCATTCGATTTATAAGATGTTCAATTTTGCAATATTTAATAATATGTTAAATTATGCAATGCAAATCATCATCACTCGTGTGCACAACAAAATTGATTATTTATATATCTCAATGTTTCCCTGTATGTAGGAGTTTCGCTCAAAATTTAAACATGACAGAGTTAGAAAAGGAAAGACCAAAATTGTGGTACCATAAGAGTAGGAAGAAGATGAGGAAGAGGAAGAGGAAGATGAAGAAGAACAGGAAGAAGAAGAGGAAGAATAGGAGGAAGAGGAAGATGAAGACAAAGGTTGGATCGAAGAGAAAGAGGTTGGGGATGAGAATGAGGATGAGGACGAGGCCGCAGCTAAGGGTAATCCGAATGCAAAACAACACTCCATAGACCAAAAATGCAAAGGTGATAAAAGTGTTCATTCACGTACCCCAAAGAGAAAGAAAACCAATTAAATTATGGATATGATTAAATTTTTCGGATCATTGCTCCGTTT